CCAAGTGTCCCAATATTTATAAACATGCAAAGTTCTAAAACACAGTATTCCTATGCAAGCATGTGGTAAGAAATACAATTTCCATCTAGGGGTCTGTTAATCGGGTTTCAAGTAGATTTATGAAATCCCACGTCACAACACATGAAAAACTTCAAGCATATTGCAGAGGCCTAATTGCTCATCCCTTCCCAATAACTGCTATTAAAAGAAAAGTTCAACTTTTACCCTTTGGTTCAGCTTAAGTAAAGAAATGAACCTTTTATGTAACTATCACTCACTGAGTATGTACTATACATCATACACACTTTATAACTTGGTTACCTCATCCTTATAGCAATCTTTTTTTAAATAAAGACACAATCATCTACATCGTTTAAGCTGGCCTCATACTCACAGTCCTTCTGCCTCAGCCTCTGAGAGCTGGGGTTACGGCGATGATCTCCCACACTGACTCTCATGACAATCTTGTAGACAGGATATTATTATTCTCACTTTACAGATAAAGAACTGAGGTTCGGTGATAATAAACACAGACCATGAGCTTCAAGCTACAATTCTAACCCAGAACTATCTGATTCCAAAATCTGTTCCTTCCCCACCCTACCCACAACACGCACCCCCTGGTTTTTTTGAGGTAGGGTATCAAAATGTAACACTGGCTGGCCTTGAACTGGTGATCCTCCTACTTCCACCTCCCAAGTGCTGGGATTATGGGCCTGAGCCAGCAAGCTCAGCCCCTAAGTCTATCTTCTTAACCACAAAGTATCATGTTTACAAAACAGCCTTTGCTATCTACTGAGTACAGTAATCTTTAAATACTTAGCATAAACACAGAAAAACCAAAAAAAATCTAGATCATTTTAAAAAGCAGGGTTTTAAGTAGTGGATAGGTATTAACTACTTCCAGAATCAAAATGACGAACTGAAATGTTTTTGTATTAACAAGTATCACAATAATGAGCTGAGATTTTAGTACCGTAATTTCAGAGTGTTATTTTGATAATCCTGGCATGGATAAGCAGACACACTAACTGGTTTCCTCTCAATAGCTAAGAGTCTTCCTGTGCAGTCCAAGCAGTAATTTGACTGCTATCGGTATACAGCCAAAACGGAATTAAAATGCATAATTTCTGAATATTTTTATTCTTAAACGGGTCATTCACAAAGTAGAATATGAAAGTAATGACTCTAAATGCAGTACTCAAGTCCTCTTTAACAGTGAGGAGGCAGAGAATGAGGCACACAGCGAGCCTGGGTCCATCAGTGACCCTGGAGCTGGTGGCGCTGGCAGCGGTGTTCAGAAGGTCAGCAGACAACACGTGGCTCCCTGAAGGGGCCCATGCAAACCCATTTCCGAGTGTGTGATCTTGCTTGCATGTGCCACGTCCCTTGGGAACGGGAGCTTTGAGTCCATGCTGTGTTCTCTAAGGTTCCAATGACAGTGCCTTTGAGAACTGGCCTTAGTACACCTCTGCTGCTGAGTGAGAAGTTCCTACGGCTTACCCGCAGCTATGGAGTTTAGAAACTGAAGCCAAATTTAAAGAATGGCACTTGGGACAACTATTGCAACTATTTCCTTTTGTCAACCTTCTTCAGAAGCGGTCACTGTATAAGTAGGAGGCCTCGGTGGAGGGACAGCAAAGCAGCACAAGCAACTGCACCATGGAGGAAGCTCCTCAGAGGCCAGCACAGGCTGGATACTCCTGCAGGTTCTGCTCGCCCTGCACTTGGACCTTGGCTCTAACACCAAGATTCCATCCCTGTCCACTCAAAACCAGCAAGGCTGACACGAATACTCTCCAAAGACCTGAAGAATGAGGTCTAAGACACTAGACCCAAGCTCTAACTTCAGAGAAAACAAGAGAGAGGGCGAGGCCCTCCTATGCCAGATCCCCAAGTAAAACAGCAGGTGTTTGCTGAGGGGCGGCATGTACCAGCTAGAATCAGCTACAGTGATATGTGTGCATGTGTGTACTTGTGTGTGGTGTGTGTGTGTGTGTGTGTGTGAAAGAGGGAGAGAGAGAGAGAGAGAGAAAGGAGAGAGAGGGAAAGAAGAAAGGAGGGAGGGAGGGAGGGAGAGAAAGAGAGAGAGAGAGAGGGAGGGAAGGAGGGAAGGGAGAAGGGGGGAAAGAGGGAGTGAGTAACTTTCAGCAAGTCCAGAACTGTGGCCCTTAAGGTTAAGGTTATTTTACACGATGTGAGTGGCTCACGTCAGCGAGTCTCAAGACTGGGAAGCTTGGGAAGGATGGGCCAGGTTTCTGTTGCTGCTTTATGTTGTTTTGTTTGTGTGTTGGGGTGGGGGGTTAGTTGAGGTGTAGCTTTGGAGGGGAAAATGGAGGCGTTGAGGTGGGGAAGGGGCAGGGACTGGGTATACTTTGGAATTCCTTGCACTGACAGTGGAGAAATGGAAAAGAGGCTTTGAAGCTGAGTAAAGAAGACAAGTAGAAGAAAAACAATGCAAACCATGGGAGGTGCCTCGGAGGGACAGCCAGAGCACGGTTGTATCAAGAACTAACACATTTGATGTGGCGCACCATACAATGGAGTATCATTCAGCCATAGAAGAATGAAATTTTATCGTTGGCTGGAACTGGAGAACATCATCTTAAGTGAAGTTAGCTAGGTTCAGAAGGACAAAGATCACATGTCATTCTTATGTGGAAGGTAGATCCAAACTCAAATATAAGCATTATCATTTATATATATGTATATGCACATATGTATATTATATATGCAGAATGTGTTTCCCAAAGTCAGACTGTTAGAGGAGACTAAGGGAGGAAGAAAAGAAGAGAAGAGTGTGAGTAACTGAAATACAGCATATCTGTGTAGGAATAAGACAAAGCGAAACACACTGACAACTGCTGAACAACACAGGGTAGGGAAAAGGATGAGGAAGGGTGGGTGATAGACTGGGTTAGACTCATTAAAGTACAATATATTTACAGGCAAAAAACCCCCACTGAGCAATAAACAGACACAGAAACAATGAAGGACAGGAGTGTAAAACAGGCCATGCAAAGGAGAGGACACTGGTGGGAGGGGGAGGGCAAATGAAGAGGGAAAGGAGGCGAATATTCATACAGGTATGAATATGAAACATGGAAACCTGTCTCAGTCATTTTAAGAAGGGAAGAGGGAAAACAGTGGAGGGATGAACTAAACTGAGGTACTAGTATATGTATATAAGGAAATGTCACAACGAAATCACCTTATAATTATCATATACTAACAAAAACATTTTTAAAAAAGAATCAACACATCTGAAAGATACCAGTATTTCAGGCTGAGGACGCACAGTGCTGGGAGATCTGGGAGGACAGTGGCTGGGCCAGGTAGTGGTGTAGAGAAAGGTAACTCATGGCCATCTCAGGAGCAGAGGGAGAGAAATGTCAAGAGTGAGAGCAAGTTAGACAGGCCTTCTCAGAAAAGCAGAGGCTTGAAGCAAACTTTTGATCTGAAGAAATGAAACAGAAGGAGAAGGACAGCCCCTGACATTCTACAGACACTTCAGGTGGGGTTAGGCAGAGGGAAGAAGAGAAGAACGGGGGCCACCCTTTCACAGCGGAGCAGCAGTAAACATGGGGTCAAACTGCTCTGAGTTTGGAGAGGGAAAAAAACTGAAAGTTGTCAGCCAGCCTCACTTTTCTCTGTTGGGCGAGAAGGCACTGCTGGGTACTTCTGCATGTGACCTTGGG